GAGGACAACTCTCTGGGATTGAGTATCCATGGCCTTTCTGTCCCAGCTACAGAGAAGGGCCTCTGCCTTTTATAAAGAGGCGGCTATTCGAGAAGATCAGAGGAGAGTTTCTCCGATGGCTGCAGAGTTTGGCCTGTCTATTAGGTGGACCTGGGTGATTGCCTAGGCCGCTGAGGTGGGGGGGGGGACACACCAAAGGAGGCTCAGATGCATGGCATGAACAGCACCTGTGCTGAAGGCCAGGGCATGTTCACCTGGCCCACCTTCCCCCACCCCCAGACAGCCTCGGTGCCCATGGAGAGATGCAGGAATGAAAAGCAGGTGGCCACTGGCTTCACATTGCCCAGGGGGCAGCAGTGGCTCGTTGTCTTCCCAGGTCCGTGAGCATCCGAGTTGTTGTAGGGGTGTCCAGATCATGGTGGGGAGAGTGCTCAGGTCATGGGGCCCGCCAAAATCATGGGCTTCCTGGAGCGCCAAAAACCCTTGGGCCTGCCCTGAATGGCCGTTAGCCATGAGAGGTAAATGGAACCTCCATACACAGTGGCAGTTTACCTCTGAATCCCAGTGACTGTGGGGCAACCAGAAGGGGAGGTTTCCGCCTCCACAGTCTTGTCACCGGGTTTCTGGGGCCATCTGGTTGGCCACTGTGGGGAAGGGGACTCATCTGACATTGGACACATGAGCCTGCTTTCTACTGAATCAGGCCATTGGTCCGTTTAGGTCAATACTGCCTACTCAGACTGGCAGCAGCTCTCCAAAGTCTCTGGCCGAGGTATTTCAGGACATCTGCTACCTAATCCTCATAATGGGAGATGCCAGGGATTGAACCCAGGACCTTCTGCATGTCAAGCAGGTGTCGTCCCACTCAGCTTTGGTACCCACCCCCTCCTAAGAAGTAACCTACTTTCTTTTTCTTTTCATTTAAAAATGCAGAAGAGCAAAAAATGACAAGGAGCCTTGAGGTTTACTCAGTCTTCAGTGCAGGGCTCGCCTTGTTCCTGGAAGCTCCGTGCTCAGTTTGCTCTTGTGCCTTGAGTGGAAGTTTAATTTGCAGACATCAGTCACTGAAGCTTTGCAAAGCATGGGGCTCACCATTGTTGATCATGTGCTAATTGCTGCAGGCCAGACTGCTGTTAAGGGGCTGCTGGTAAAGGTAACAGCTCTCCCTGAGTTCATTCATTCTTATTCTGTCTCTCTCTCTCTCTCTCTCTCTCTGTACATTCAGGGGAATTCTAAGTTTAATTCCGGGCTGCTTCTATTGGACTAAATGTAAAAAAAAAAATTAAGAGTAAAAATAAATATGTTGCCTTGGAAGCACAGAGGCTTTATGTAGTATCTCCGACCCTCCATGTTTCCCAGTTAAGGGGGGGAATGCTGTTCAAACAAATTACAAAGACGATCTGACTCCAATAGTGACAAGAGAAAGAAATTTTATTTACAAAAACAGAAGCACATCTTACATGACGTGTTCATGTAGGTACATGGTATTTAAAGAAGTGAGCAGTGACCGCAACCTAAGGGATCCCCCCCCCTTTCAATGCCAAGCTGTGTTGTAGCACTACAGCGTGGCTCACTCAGGAACAGGAAAGAAGGGGAAGGGGGCAGGGCCTGGGCCTGGGGGTGTGGCCTGCAGAAATTGCCACCGAGAGTGCCGTTTCAGCATAGGTGATGAGTGAAGCTAAACCCAAGAATCCCCCTGAAGCTGCATAGAGAGAGAGGGAGGGAGGGAGGGAGGGAGTGCAGGAAACTGCATCAGCAAGTGGAATAAGAACAGGGGCATGTGGACGCTGTCTACCTGTTCCTGCCTTGCTTGCAGCCCCTCAAGGGGGCAGACAACAACTACCCCCCCCCGGGCCATCTGCGGTTAAGAAAATGGCATGGAAGAAGGGTGAAGTCACTTCTGCTCCTCCTGCAGATGCATGTGGAGGAGTGGGGAGTGGAGAAGCAGTCCCGGTCCAAGTCAGGCCCCGGTGGCACTTGGAAGATCGGTCCCCAAATACTGCTGTCTGAGGGGAGGAAGATTCAGGCCTGAGGAATCCTGACCCAATGTTGTGTAGTGGTTAGGAGTGTGGACTCTAATCTGGGAGGACCGGGCTTGCTTCTCCACTCCCCACTCCTCCACATGCATCTGCTGGCATGACCTTGGGCAAGCCACAGTTCTCTCAGAGCTATTCACTTAAGAGCAGTCCTCAAAAGAGCTCTCTCAACCCCACCGACCTCACAGGGTGTCTGTTGTGGGGAGGGGAAGGAGATTGTTAGCTGTTCTGAGACTGCTTCGGATAGTGAAGGGTGGGGTATAAATCCAGTCTCCTCCTCCTCCTCCTCCTTCTTCTTCGTAGTTCGATGTCAGGAAGGATTAGGAATGTCTGCAAACGATGAGAGCCATAGATCCGCCAGTCCTTTTATCTAAATTTGTTTGCTAGCAGTTTGCTTTTTTTTTTTTAAAGTGGTGGAAATAACGGGGTGGGGGGTAGATCGGAACATCTGGACCTGTCAGCTTCTGGGCCACCACGTACGAAAGGGCTCCGACAGCAGTTAATTGCGACATCCCCGCAGGAGATTACGAGCGTGAGGCCTTGCGGTGGGCTCTGTCAATCTCAGACCAGCTCTTCAGGCACCAGCCTAATTAAGCTAATTACAGCCACCCGGAGAGATGTTGGTAGCCTGATGGCCTTATGAAGGTGGGCAGGTGCCGAGCAAGCCGTGCATAGTTCCTTCGGCGCAACGGGGGTCTCTCCGGACCAGTTTGGGGTAGCTCTAAAGACTCTGCCTTATCATACAGTCTCAGAAAGCGCTGCAGGGAACTTGAAGGCACTTAGGCGAGAGCCCCCTGTCTGGAAGTTTGTCCAGGAGAAATAAGGTTGTGGGGCAGCCTGTGATTGGAGGGAAGTTCAGGGAGGGTCATGCTCTCCAAGGGGGGGGGGTCCTAGGGGGGCAGAGATGGTGCATGCGGCTTCAGATTCACTAGGTTCTCTCAGACCCTATGCTTCTTCTCCAGAGGATTCTCTTACTTGCAGTAGTCTCAGTAACCCAGACTAGCCCAAGCTCATCAGAACTCAGAAGCGAAACATATTCGGCCATGGTCAGTACTTGGATGGGAGACCACCAAGGAAGGTCAGGGTTGCTACACAGAGGCGGGCAATGGCCAACCAGCTCTGGATGTCTCTCGCCTTGGAAACCACAGGAGAGGTCGCCATGAGTCAGTTGCGACTTGGTTTGACTTGATTCGTAATTATGTTCTTAGCTGAAGTGGGATAGGGCCAGATGCAATGTGTCCGTGGAGCCCTTTGGTAGGACCGGAGCACGTCCACAGTACAAGAACCAGTTCTTCTTTCCGTTCAGAACTGTTGCTTGCCTATACATGGTGGTGGAATGTGCCTCAAGTCACAGCTGACTTATAATAATAATAATACCTTTCGATTTATTGATCGCTCATCCTGCAGAGCTGCTGGCTCTGAGCGATTTACAGTTACACATGTTTTTCACACGGGACTAACAATGAATTGTAGGGTAAGGGAGGACAACATATAATTCCTTAAATCGCACACTTTTGCAGCCGACGGGGATTTTGTTCAGCTGTAAGCTTCAGGCGTGTTCCGGTCGGCATTCACTTCGGCTTGGCTAGATGACGTCAGTTCTTCCAGGACTACTTTGAGTCGTAGTGCCGCACTGCCACCGCCTGGCCGGACAGCCCATTACAGGCTTCCTTGATGCCGAAGAGTTCTTTCTAGGCTTTTCGATCTCACGCGCTGGACCTTCCGTTCGCCGGCTACCACCTCCTCCACCGGGGGGTTTAGTGTACCCACCCTCTCTAAGGAGTGGTACCCATTTTATCTACTCACCGGAGCTTTCGAAATGCTGGGTGGACGGCGAGCTGGGGACAAGGCTGGTAGCTCACACCAGCCCGGGCTAGAACTGACAGCAGTTCTGTTCAGCTCAGATGTTAACCAGAGGATAAATCCCCTGTGCCACTGCTCCCCTTATCATCATCATCATCATCATCACTATAGTTATTGTTATTATTTATTTATTTAATAAATTAAATTTATAGGGCTCCAGTGGACAGTCAGAAGCCATGCTGGGCAAGAGCCCCATCTGGCCTTACCAATTTTCTAAAAATGCTTGGTGGGCACCAGGAAAGGTGCTGATGGGTGGCACGGTGCCCATGGTCACCACATTGGGGACCCCTGCCCTAGAAGATCCCACACAGCTAAGAGGCCACCGTGACGGTAGTTAGAAACACCGAAAAGTAGCAGAGACTCTGTTTAAGTATGTACAGAGTATTTACACTTTATTTATTGTTGGTGTCTAATATTTGTAGCCCATACTGTGATAACAGTGCCAAAAGAGTGCAAGCCATTGTTCTAGGGGGGAAAAAACTAGGCATTCTTTGTACCTTGTTTTCCTCACAACTGGAATCTTTTATTTATTTATTTATTTATTTATTTTGGGATTTATATCCCGCCCTACCCGTACGGCCCAGGGCAGCAAACAAGCGGCAACGCCGGAAATAAAACATAGGTTACATTAAAACATCAGTAAATACAGACTCTTGGGGGATTGGCTACATTAGGGGTGTGTCGCCTAATATGCAAATGAGTTCCTGCTACAGAAAGAGCCCTGCATTTAGCTGACTCATGGTGATTATGGCAGAGTCTGATGCAATCGGCCAGTCACCTGACCCCTGACTGTCACTTCTAGATCAGACAGATCTAACACTGCTGCTCATGGCTGACTGACAGCTTGCCAGTACTATTACAAATACTGACACACCGGTGGGGTAGATTCTTCCTGTTTATGATGATAGGACCCTTTCTCCAAGTCTTCTTGTGAAATGCCAGAAAAGCAAAGGAGTGGGTGGAAGGTTAGTGGTGACCACATCTGGCTACCAAGATGGTCCGAAATATGTCGACCCCGACTCCATTGTTGGCTCCACGGTCTGTAGCCCTGGTTTTCTTATTTTAGCACAAGTGTGGTGACCCTGTTTTCAATCTCGACAGGAAGACTGTCGGCGTTTTTTGCTGCGGACCAAACAAGATCTCCAAAGCCCTTCACAAACTGAGCAACAGCAGCAATTCTTATGGGACGAGGTTCGAGTACAATAAAGAATCCTTCAGCTGAAAGCCTCCAGGACTGAGAAGGACTGCCCAGAAAGCTAAAGTGCAATTTAAACAAGAGAAACAAAAAGACTTCAGAATCTGCAGCATAAGCCAGATGCCACATACGCCAAAGAATAGCAAAGGTATTTTTAATTATTATTTGTTATTTATAACTATTTAAAAACCTAGGAAGCAAAGGACACCAAAAATACATCCTTGGCGATTATGGCCAAAACCAAAACATTCTTAGAATCCGGCAGGTCAACTTTTACACCCTTTGAATTAGCAGAATAGAATTAGAGATTCATAGTTGTTCATGCGGCTCGGTTCAAGATCAATCCATGCGGTAGCAGAAATGTCTTCATTGAAGACTGCAAATTCCAGAAAGTGGGATCGGTTGAACAAGCACTCGAGTGATTGGACTGAGGGGGGAGGAAAACACAGAATGCTTACATTTGAAGTCAGAGTCTGCTCTACACTGGCAAATAAATAAAAAACAGCAACTTTAAAATGGAAAGTTTTCTTCTGTGCAAAGATTAATTCTGCAGGGGGAATGTGGGAAGGGTTTATATAATGTCCTATGGGGTACAACATATGGAACTACAAGATGGACTGAATTGAATCTGAATTCCAAACACCGGCTTCATCCAGTTTTACAAAATTAAAAGCAGAGGCACGCCTCATTCTGTCCTCATAGATATGTAGCTGGATGGATAATTATTTCTTAATCAGCTTTCTGAACAATGGGACCACAGTCTTCTTGCCACCGCAGGATTGCCCAGTTCATATTTATGTATTTATTTTATTTCAAACACAGCTGTGACACCTTTCAACACAACTCAAGGTTCCCATGGGAACAAACGTTACAACATTAAAACATGTCAAACATTAAAACATTTAAAAACAGTGTTTAAACTCTCTCATAAGAAGAAGAAGAAGAAGAAGAAGAGATTGGATTTATACCCTGCCCTTCACTACCCAAAGGAGTCTCAGAGCTTTCCCTTTCCCTTCCCCTCCCCACAACAGACACCCTGTGAGGTAGGTGGGGCTGAGAGAGCTCTGACAGAAACTGCTCTTTTTTCAAGGGCAGCTCTTATCAGAACTATGGCTTGCCCAAGGTCATCCAGCCCAGGTGCAAGTGGAGGAGTGGGGAATCAAACCCGGTTCTCCCAGATTAGAGTCCTCGCACTTAACCACGACACCCTGCTGGATCAGACCAGTGGTCCATCTAGTCCAGCATCCTGTCTCACACAGTGGCCAACCAAAGTGGAGGGCGGAGTCTATGGCATTGTGCCCCACTGAAGTCCCTCCCCTCCTCAAACACCACCCTTTCCAGGTTCCACTTCCCAAATCTCCAGGTATGTCCCAACACAGAGCTGGCAACCCTAGTCTCAACCCAAAAGCAGTCCAGGAGGATATCATGATCAATGTTAACTCAGCATGGTCTGTTCACACTGGCAGGGGCTCTTCCATGTTGTCAGGGAGAGGTCTTTTCACAACACCTACTATCTGATCCTTTTCGCTGGAGACACACGGGATCGAACCGAGGACCTTCTACATGCAAAGCAGATGCCCTCCCACCGCAAAGAACTCCTGCTTTTTGTTGGGCTTTACAGAGCCGATCGCTATTGCTCAGCACTCAGGCAGGATCGGGCCATGGTGTATACACATCATAGCATGAGGGTTTGTAGAACCCACTAAGTAAGCAAGGTTTCACCAAGGGTGTGTGTGTGAGAGAGTGATTACATTCCGCTGTCAAAATTCTGCCCACCTTTAGCCCGGAGTCTAGACCTTTTGCCTGGTGGTTTCTATTATTCCTGCAGGAGAGAGTAACCAGGGAGAGATCTTAGAGCTGCCAGGTAAATAGTGTCATGACAGATTTATCAAATCGCAGAGTGAGCCACAGAAGAACACAGGAATCAGAGGAAAGGGAGTGTGTTAAATTTTTACAGTACATTGGTTCGGAAAGAAGGGATTCTCCCGTTTTGTGTGAAAAACAAGGTGTTTTAAGCACAGTAGCAAACATCTTCCGGGTGGACAACTCCTACTAAGAAATGCTTAGCATTGTGTAGCTCTCTCTGTGCTCAAAAAGCATGAGGACATAAGAAGAACCCTGGCTGGACCAGACAAGTAGTCCATCTAGTACAACATCCTGTCTCACACAGCCGCTAACACAGCCGCTAACCAGTTCCTCTGGAGGGCCAGGAAAAGGGCGTTGAGGCTGAGGCCTTCATAGGAATATCCCTGCTGGATGAGACCAGTGGTCCATGAAGTCCAGCATCCTGTCTCACACAGTGGCCAACCAGTTCCTCTGGAGGGCCAACAACAGGGCATAGAGTCTGAGGCCTCCCTTGGTAAGAACATAAGGAGAGCCCTGCTGGGTCAGACCAGTGGTCCATCTAGTCCAGCATCCTGTCTCACACAGTGGCCAACCAGTTCCTCTGGAGGGCCAACAACAGGGCATAGAGTCTGAGGCCTCCCTTGGTAAGAACATAAGGAGAGCCCTGCTGGGTCAGACCAGTGGTCCATCTAGTCCAGCATCCTGTCTCACACAGTGGCCAACCAGTTCCTCTGGAGGGCAAGGAAGAGGGCACAGAGGCCTAGGCTTTCCCCTGGGCTTGCCTCCTGGCCCTCACAGGGATCATAGTCTTCACTACAATCATGTTAGGTAGGGCAGATGGGAGCTGAGGTTGAGCAACAGTGAATTTTTGGAAGCCGCCTAACGAGTTCACTGTTGAGATGAGAACATTTACAGAACAGTCCAGGTATGTGCACAATTTATTTCTGTTTTCCTTTTGTGTTCTCTTCTTCCTTTCATTTTTAAAGTTATTTTGTTTTGTTAAATTCATTATGAAAGCTAGCGGTTTCAGTTATTCAGTATATTTTCATTTCCGTTAGTGAAAGCACACACTAGCTGTCACTTGGCATCCTAAACCGCTTGGAATGAAATTCTCAGGGATTGTTTCCCTGCCAGCTTCCCCAATGTGTGTGTGGAGTGCCATCAGGTCACAGCTGACCGACAGCAACCCCAGCAAGGGGCCTTCCAAGGCAACCGAGAAGCGGAGGTGGTTTGCCATTTGCCTTCCTCTGCAGAGTCTTCCTTGGTGGTCTCTCTTCCAAGTAGCAACCCTGCTTAGCTTAGACTTATGGCGACCCCAGCAAGGGGCCTTCCAAGGCAACCGAGAAGCGGAGGTGGTTTGCCATTTGCCTTCCTCTGCAGAGTCTTCCTTGGTGGTCTCTCTTCCAAGTAGCAACCCTGCTTAGCTTAGACTTATGGCGACCCCAGCAAGGGGCCTTCCAAGGCAACCGAGAAGCGGAGGTGGTTTGCCATTTGCCTTCCTCTGCAGAGTCTTCCTTGGTGGTCTCTCTTCCAAGTAGCAACCCTGCTTAGCTTAGACTTATGGCGACCCCAGCAAGGGGCCTTCCAAGGCAACCGAGAAGCGGAGGTGGTTTGCCATTTGCCTTCCTCTGCAGAGTCTTCCTTGGTGGTCTCTCTTCCAAGTAGCAACCCCGCTTAGCCTCCCAGACAAGACTGGGCTGTACCATTTCCTTTTCAATTTCCCTGGTATTCAAGAGAAAGTGTTGCCATTTTTATAGGCAATTAACAGTAAAATCCCAAGCAGAGTTACGCCCTTCAAAATCCATTGAAGTCGATTGGCTGAGTAGAACTTATGATTTCATTGCAGGAATCTAGTTTATTGGTGGGTTATGGGGCACAGAGGCATTTAGCCGCACGTAGTGGACACAAATAAAATATAAAAATGCCATGAGACTCTATGTCTCCATCTCAGTAGCAGGCTAACAAAGATTGTAGGACGAAGAAGAGAAGAGATTGGATTTATACCCCGCCCTTCACTACCCAAAGGAGTCTCAGAGCGGCTTACAAACTCCTTTCCATTCCCCTCCCCACAACAGACACCCTGTGAGGTAGGCGAGGCTGAGAGAGCTCTGACAGAAACTGATCTTTTTCCAAGAACAGCTCTTATCAGAACTATGGCTTGCCCAAGGTCATCCAGCCAGGTGCAAGTGGAGGAGTGGGGAATCAAACCCGGTTCTCCCAGATTAGAGTCCGCGCACTTAGCCACGACACCAAACTGGCTCACAAGGCATAACTAGCAGGGTCACCATCCTATTGCATTGCCTGCTGTGTCGTGTTAGCGTGTAATTTGGGGAGCTTTATTGAGAAGGAGTAGGTCCCCACAAATTTAGATTTTACACTCCAATTGGGGAAAGGCAGGATGTGCAGAAAATGTTGACTTGTATTTCTTAATTACAAGCCATGGCTGGCTGTCTCAGGCTGAGTCGGCTGAAGTTGAACCTGGTGAAGATGGAAGTCCTGTGTGTGGGTTGGGGTGGTACAGGGGTGGGGGTCCCACTCTCGACCTTCGGTGGGACACCATTGGTGCTGGCGCTGAAGGTTAGGAGCTTGGGAGTGCTCCTGGATGCCTCCTTAACAACGGAGGCCCAGGTAGCAGCCACTGCTAAATCGGCCTTTTGCCATCTTCGGCTGGTTAGGCAGTTGGCTCCCTTCCTTGTCCGCAACAACCTGGCCACAGTGATCCATGCGATGGACACCTCAAGACTAGACTACTGTAACACTTTCTACATGGGGCTGCCGTTGTCACAAATTCAAACGCTGCAGCTAGTACAGAATGCCGCAGCCAGGCTGTTGATGGGCCTGCCCAGATGGGAGCACATCCAGTCTGTGCTGAAGGCACTGCACTGGCTGCCAATAGCATACCGAATTAGCTTCAAAGTGCTGGTGCTTACCTTAAAACCCTATATGGCCAGGGCCCGGCATACCTGAGGGACCGCCTTTCCCCATATATACCCTAGAGAGCACTCCGATCAAGGTCTCAGAACCGACTGACCCACCGGCCCCCAAAGATGCCAGGCTCACCACTACCAGGGCCAGGGCCTTTTCAGTAGCGGCTCCTTGCTGGTGGAATGAGCTCCCAGAAGAGATCAGGGCCCTGCAGGACCTCTTACAGTTCCACAGGGACTGCAAGACGGAGCTCTTCCACCAGGCTTTTGACTAGGAGCTGCCCTGAGTACCACCATCAACAAGCCCGGCCCTCAGCCTACCATCTGGCCTAGACCATGGTGCGACTCAAGAAGACCGTGAGCTGGATTGTCTGCTTGCAACACTCTTAGTACACAATCTCAATAAATTAATGATGGGAAATCAGCACCTGTGTATGACCCATTTGTATCTGAATTGTTTTAATGTGATTTAATGTGGTTTTATGTGGTTTTATTTGTATTCTGTACCAACTGTGTGAGCCTGTTTGCGGGGAGGGCGGGGTACAAATTGAATAAATAAATAAATAAAAAAACACACCAGACACGAACTAGAACACTTTCAGATCTGAAATCACTTCATCACTGAAGTCTGCTGACTGCCACCTCTGACTGCCATCTCCCCCCCCCCAGAATGCCACGTGGTTCAGTCTTAAAGGGGCAGTAGCACATAAACAAACATAAAACTTACACAC